TCTCTCTCTCTCTCTCTCTCTCTCTCTCTCTCTCTCTCTCTCTCTCTCTCTCTCTCTCTCTCTCTCTCTCTCTCTCTCTCTCGCTCAGTCTTCTTCTTCGTCGTGGTCTTCTTGTTGCAGGTGCGCGGCGGCTTCTTCTACCTCGAGGTCCGCTATGGCGGACTGCCTTCTCCAGCGGCCACTTCAGCTATGGGGCATCGGCCCAGCACACGACGACGCGCGCGGAACAGCGGGTACCAGCTCCGATACCAGTGCAACAGACTCAACTTATTCACACTTTGCATGCACGTGAACAGCAGAACGACAAACTGGCGACATGCACCCACACAATACACAGAGATATGTCCCCCAGGTAAGTTCGCTTCCACTGGCTATGGCGACTGAGCGCCCACACAACTCACTGTTCACACTCTGGATCACCATGGTTGTCCCACACGCAACACTCTGTAACCACACGCAACACACACACACACACTACCGCTATGGCAGCGCTAGCTGCCACTACCCTAGCGCTATACTACACTCCTCTGCCCACTTCGTCTTCGGGCACCCTGCAGACCTCCTCGCACAAGCTGTTGAGGCAGCGCTTCCGCATGGCTTCCGCAGGAATGAATGAATGGTTGGGCGCAGGCTCTTGATTTATACTCCTACGCTGCGTTGGTCTGCCCTGTACCCCTTGGCCCACGATGTGCACAGTCCCAGACGGTACTTGCTTGACTGGACCGGACTGGGCTAACTGGGACTGCTGACCGTACTAGGTGGACTACCACCACTTGACCACTTGCCTCTGCTGAACGCAAGCTAACTCCGAAAGGCCACTTCTAGAAGTCTCTAACTTGGCCTTTCGGTACTGTAGCAGCTACGACTTTGCCCTTTCAGGTAAGTAGCGGCTACGACCTTGACTCTTCAAACAACCTACAGCTACGACCTCTGAACTGTTTAGACTCCTACCCTACAAGTCTACAGTTCGAATCCCTCCTACCCTATGACCTACGAAAGTCTACCCACCACTGGCGATCCTACAGGTCGCAGGTTCAAATCTACAGGTGGACATCAATACTGTACACAGGTAAGATAAGGAACTTGGGATCGAGCCCTAGGATCTGCACTCGCTACTGCGAACTGGTGAATACCGTTTCATTACATCCTTAGATGGAAAACCCCCTTAATGAACTTCAGACTGCATACTACCTCAGATTGAAACGTGTAAGCAGTGAGTTTTTTCTAGCAAGCCTGTCAAGCTCTAGGGCAAGCAAGACTAAGCACTGCAAATGGGGTGCTAAAAGAAAGAAAGAAAAGAAAGCATTGCACTTTGCCATATTAGTGCTATCCTCTATTGCCTAAGAAGAGGGTTGAGGTGACATCAGACTGGTTGTGCTAGGCTGCTTGGTGTGTTTCCCCAGCGCTATCGACCTACCGCTATTGTGCTGTCCCGAACGCAAGGAAAATGAGCCATAGCGAGATGACAATGTCCAGAATGCACAATCACATTGAAGGCCAGATAGTATCATAGTGTCCAGAAAGCAGAAATGCACCAATATAACACCAATGAAGATCGGTAACACTCAAAACCAATGTCAATGAGAGCTTGCTCTCGCGACCACCAATGTGAGTGTCCACGCCCTATCTCCCTACTTGGCGCTTGGCGCCCAGCCTAATTCCTAACAGCTACAGTCTGCCTACTAGCTGACAATGCAACTGTTGACGTCAGCAGCTCACAAAGTACTTGATTATGTCGCCCAATGCAGACCATCGCCAATACCAGGTATGTGCCCTCACATCATCATCATCATCCTCCTTCTCTCTCTCCCCTGACTTACTCCCACTGCACGACCGCACGCGCTAGCACCTTGCCTCTCAGCGCCAGCAGCAGCCCACGAGCATCCGCTCCATCAGCGCTGCCGCCAGCATGCAAGTGCTGAATGCCCCTCCAGGCAGCGAGCTCTTTCGTATATGGAAAGAGCCTGCCTGCCTTCGCAGCCTGGCTGGCCTGGGCCTGGGCCCAGAAGCTTCCGGTAGGCCCCAGGATGCTGCGCCTCTGGTGCAGCTACTGGGCCTTGTTCGGTTGGGCCTCCCAACTGTCTGTGTATGAGGCTGCGAATCTCGCCCAGGGCCTGCACTTTCGGAAAAGCTTCGAAGGCCGAGGAATTTTCCTCACTGCTCGGCCTGTGTTTCCTTCAACCAACTGGCGCGACGAAACTGCCTAGACCCCAAATACGAAATTGACAGTCGAGGGCTTCTCGTGATTTATTAGGACCGCCTTCACTTATGACGGGTGCAGGTGCAACAGGGGCCCCTTAGGCCTGTTGAGGACCTAGACCCTCGCATTCCCTCCTCCTTTACTTCGATAGTCCTCTGAGAAGTTCTTATGTAACAGGCTGCTTCCCTTTCAGAGCAGTCTTCATTAATTCCTCTCTTGTGAACCACCGGTCTTCTTGAGGATCAATGTGATGTCTGAACCACACTCGGTATTGCATCTGTGGCTTTGGCGGTCGACCCCTTCCTAGAGGTTTGGGTACAGGCATCAGCTTGTGCTCGATGATATCGTTAATGTCCACGTGTCCATCCATGGGTGGGGGAAGCATTGATCTTCTTGAGGGAAACTGATCAGTGTCAACGAAAGGTGCCAACTTGGATGCATGGAAAACAAGGTAAGTACGTAAGTGTGCAGGAATGCGAACCACATATGATGGTCCATCTGGTTGATCCCTTGCAATGTCTAAGATCTCCCAGGGCCCAAAATACTGGGGCATTAGTTTGCGTGAAATCCCAACTCTTGACCTAGTTCAGATGATTTTACCCAGACTCGTTCACCTACCGGAAAGTTAGACTGTCGTTTGTGCCTGTTCTCAAATGCAATCATGGCATCTTGAGCTTTCTTAATGTGCTCTACAGCCTATTGCAGCATCTGTTCGTATTTGACAGCGAACTCTAGGCTGCCAGGTGATGCATTTTGCTACTGTTCAGGTAATAGAAAGTCCAGTGCTGATCTGGGCTTCCAACCAAGATGTAATTGGTTGGGAGTCATACCAGTAGTGCTATGCACAACGTTATTGTACAGGCTGGCGACGAGAGGCAACTTCTCGTCCCAGTCATCCTGACTTGGCTTGATGTAATGCCGAAGCAGGTGATGTACTACACGGTTCATCTGTTCAGCCTGGCTGTTTGACTCAGGGTGGTTCCCTGATGTCATTTGGAGCCGGGTGCCCATCTGTGGGGTTGTGCTTTGCCACAGTTCGCTGATGAATCTCACGTCCCTGTCACTAACTATAGACGTAGGTAGACCGAAGTCACGTACCCAGTTATTCATGAAGAGATTGATGATGTGGTCAGTTCTGGCTGTCTCGGGCATAGCAATTAGCCTTCCATATTTAGTAAATCTATCCACAATAACAAATATATGCCTTTTTCCACTCTTGCTGGTCACGAGAGTATCCATGAAATCCATGGACACACTTTGCCCAGGTCCAGCAGGAATAGGCAGGGGTTTAATCAATCCCAAAGGTGCATGCGTCCTTGGTTTGTCATGTTGACAAACTTGGCAGGTCTCTACATATCTCTTTGCATCCTGCATCATTGTGGGCCACCAAAACTTCTGCACTAGGTTAGCTGATGTCTTTCTATAGCCAAAATGACCAGTTG